AATATTGAAGCATCTTGCAAAAACAAATAAATATTTATGAATTTTTTGTTATTTTCATTATTTAGGCTTTAATATTTGTAATTTATATTTCCACTTTTCTAGCATTTATGTTTTGGTTTTTATCAACACAACTTGTCTAAGATTGTTTTTAAAACCGTTTATATTAAAAAAAAATTAGTTGATGCAGCTTTTATTTTTGTTATTGTGAACTTTCGCTTTTAATTCGCATTGACTTTTTTATTTTTGAGTTTTAAAATTTGCCTCAAAATTAATAAGTCATTTATAAATATCTCAATATATTAAAATTTTCCGGCCGCTTAAGCGCTTTAATCACACACACAAACACGCAACATAAAATTTATATTACTGCCACAACACTCTTGCACTTGCAGCGAGTTCTCCGCGCAGTAAAATAARCGGTTTGCACCACAAAGCGTCTTTTGTTTACACTCCAGCACAAGTAGCACGATGATGCAACAATTTGTTGCAACAGCACGTCTCACTGTCTCCGTGACAATTGGACTTTCTCAACGAAATCGATGTTTTCTATTGAAAATATCGCGCCGCACTGAGTGCGTTCGGCTAAAAKGCGGTCCTCACGACGCTCACCATCGATCAAATGAGGAGAGTCCGCGGCACGTACAGGAAACCGCTTGCGAGCGCCAACACTTTCCTCAKTTTGCGTTTATAAACATTTTCATTTTCACTTTGCCACTCTCAAATTTGTGAATCTAAAGGTAGTAAAGTAACCAAAACTGCGATGGCCACTAAGAAAAATCGATAAACAAACCGAAAATAAATAAATAATCAAGAGTTGTAATAGCGACAACAACAGCAARTGAAACAGCATGTTGCCGCACTATGCGCTCCAAATTATTTTTTTTTACGCTTTGTTGTTGTTTAGTATATAATTAGCYGMATTTCGTTCGTCGCGGCGCACCACCGCCACTTTGGCGGCTATTTTTGGCGCACCCACCGCAGGCACTTGGCTCGCTCGCCGTCGACTGGCGCACGACCGCCCGCTTTGGGTGACTTAGTGAAAAATTTGGCAGCATTTGACATTCAAAGAGTCCGTCCGTAAGTRGTGCGAGATAAAATCGCCATAATATTTAATATGCCAAAAATGTATTAGAATACATTTGAAATGCCAKAGGAATGCACACAAACACTCATACTCAGCCATACCTCATAGTAAATTCGACTGTCACAGACGAAGTCAGAGAATACTAAAACGAATTAGTCCGAGTCCGTGAAGCAAAATCATTTTAAGTTCTGAGAAAGGACTGTTCTGTAATCCCTATACCGCTAAAATATCTAGCTCGGCCGATTCTGGAGAATATCTTTTATGGTGCAAAGATAAAGTTATGTCAATTGTAACAGAGTTTCAAGATGAAGTACCTCGTAATTCATAAACAACCTTTATATGGGGTTTGTCTACTGCATAAGAACAGAAGAATGGACGACTGATCTTCCAGAACTGACTAAAATTATCAGATTTTTTGGGGAATAATTCAATTGATGATTCCTATCATGCATGTCGAAAATTCTTGAAYCACCAAGGTTATTGATTAATACTTGAATTATGAGTTTGCTTGAGTGTGACCTAATTTGAAAACCTTCTTTCCTCCATATAATATTCACTGATTAAGACGAGGAAAGCTGAAATTCAGCACTCACCTCACACATTATTCAGATAAGCTCACTCTACTCAATTCTAACGCTTGAAMCAAGCTGTGTGTCCCGTAGAGGTTCGTATAAACGTACCCCGAAAGCATTACAAAAGTCTAATCTTTACTAACCACTTGAACCACAGTGAGAATGGCGATTCTAGTTTATCKAACTAAATTTTTAAAGAGATGGACTAAATCCGAACAAGTTCTGGGTCTACACTCATTGAGTGAATTTTAGAGAAATGGGCAGAGTAAGGTGACAAAGACAATCCAAGCCAACCCTTAGTAAAATCAATATCGACGATTTCGTCATTTACAAAGCTTTATTCTATAGAATAGTTAACAGAAATATTTTAGATTACCATACGAAACATTTTTAAACTATTATTTTAAACAAAAATCGAAAACATTCGGACTTGCATATCAAGTGAATAGTAACCAGTACAATAATCGGGGGGGATTTCGTTCATAAAATCACCGAAAGCTCAGTTTTCTCAGGCAAATATAGACGTAAGGCAAGCTTTTCTTAACTTTGCATACTTACTTGGAAATTATTTGATCCTCTCAGATAATATCGCAGACAACACGATCAACKAGTACTCACCTGTTTGGTGAGACCCAACCCCAAACCAAGAAGCATGCTGCCGGAAAGTGTTATTGGAAAGAGTCGAGATAATACAGATAAATACCACTGAAGTCTACGACTTAAAAAGATTATTTGAGTTGACGTAAAAGCTCTTCTATAAATGCCACATGTTGATAATACTGGGTTGAGAAATATATTTCCTTTTATTAGCCACATTCTAGGCTAATCCACTTATTGCTAAAATTACACCTTAAATCCAGCCAAAATAATCACTAATTTCGCACCTACCAGCAATCATCTGATTAATGTTCGGCAATTAATCAAAACAAAAAAGTACCGAAAGCTAAGTGGTGGCGCTTTTCATTCATGCTACGAAATCACCATCGTCGTCACGCCTAAATGGTCGACTTTACGCCCAAATTGTATCGGATGGCACGCATTTTGGCACTAAATCAACGCTTTTAATGAACTATTGTTTTTTTTTTTTATGTAGAGAATCGTCAAGCAAAAAAAGCAGAAATACATAAAAATTAAAAATTACATAAAAAAAAAAAAATAAAAAGTGACAGCTTGGTTGGCAACTGCTGCAGCAGGAAATGTTGAGTGCGTGACTGCAACTTTTTGGGTAGGGAGTTCGTTTTTCAGTAACGGGAAAATTTAAAAATGTTTTTAAAAAAGAGGATAAATTTTAGCAAAAGTGTTAATTCGTAAGCGTAAAAATTTACTCTCGAATGCAAATAGAAATACTTGGCCAAATTTTATAGCATGTATTTCCTTGAACTCTTTTTTCTTAATTATTGTGTAGCTAAATGTAATGGCCTAGAAGGACGAGAGAATTTGTTACCATCTGATCTATTGAACTGGGAAGCTAATTGAGGATTATATCAACAACCGAATTTTGTATGGAAATCTAATGTTAAGAGAACTTCTAGGAAAGTGGAAATTCAGAACATACTTCCGGAAAGTGCACAGTACCATCAGGGGACTAAGCGCCATAATCTTTCATATGGTTGATGGTCTAAATCAAAAACCACCCTCTTAGAGGACCATCCTTGTAGCTTTAGATTTGTCATAAACTTTTTACACAGTCAACCTCACAACATTACTAAAAGACATCGAAAAATCTAAGCTTACTTCAAGCTAAAGTGGTTAACTTTGAACTATCTGAACAATCATCCGTACTGTTTTCAGAACAAAATTCAAAGTTATGAGGAATTCAACAGGTGGTTCCGCAGATGGGGACCCCTCCTCCTACTGCTTAATTTCTATATTTCGAGACTCCCTCAATTTCCATCACCTCATACTCAGATCGTTTTACGATATTGAAGTCAGCGAATGGAATCGATCTTTCTCACTTCTTCCCTACAATGATCGTCATCCTCACACTTCCCGCTATTAAATCTGAACCGACTTTATTCACTACCTGAAACTTAATATCACAGTCAATGGATATAAAATTCCAACTGACAAACCTAAGATATTAGGCGTTATATTTTACAGCCTATGCTTATCCACTCCTCATATGACCGCGAATATTACCAAAGCACAGAGTCGCAACAAAATCTTTAAGTCACGTTGTTGGCAACATATAAGACAATCGGCCGGCCGTTCACTCACCATGCATGATATGGGAATCGCAGAGGAAGAAGCTTCAGCCGTGCCAAAATACTGCATTTCGTACAATTACAGGTGGTCTTCAATCGAATCCCCACATGGTAAGGYTTGCATGCTGGCAGAAAGGGAACACAATTCCTCTCTAAACTGCTTTTTCTTGGATGTTGTCGCATTGAAATTTTCTCATCTAACACCTCCTTCCCTATAGTCCAACCCCGTCGAAACAGTACAATTTCCGATCTTAATAATGACAGTCAACTTTAACCTTACCACGCATATGGGGATAACGTGACCTTTACAGCGATCACTCTCGAAAGGCAACTGAAGCATAAGGAACCTGTTTGCCAGATGTGGTTGTTTTGGGAATTTTTTGGTTTAAAGTTTTAAGATTAGAAACCTGCATTTAGAGCATTATAGTCGTGTCATACCAAACAGAGCCTTAAAGGAAGCCATGACTTTGAAACCAAAATTATTTGCAGAACTGTTAAATGCGTATTTAAAAGAAGGGATATTGCCCGATCCATGGATAGTCCAGCTATTAGTTCTACTTCCTAAACCAAAAAAGCCTCCGGAACCTTGATCATGTCGACTTCTGCGACTGAATTGGCAAGTATATGAAAGTATATTAAGAAACAGTTTGGAGTCAGGCGAGCATTATTCGATACTAATGAAGGCACCAAGASCTAATCCATATCGAGTTGAGTACAGCAAGGCTCGGTTATAAGCCACCTTCTATGGAACCTAATGTATGATGGAGTGCTAAGAAGACACAAACCAAAATCCTTACTGTGCTAGCAGTGGCTAAACACCTAGATGACCTCCGGAGCTAATGCAATGAGCGTATAAACGTTCTGCGCCAATGGTTTCCCTCAGTAAYTTTAGAACTAGCTGAGCAAAAGACAGAAAATTTACTCGTAAGTCTAGGAAGGAGGAGGAATGTATATCTCTCACCATAGGGGAGTGTGAGATTCATTTACAGCCAAAACTAAAGTACCTGGGAGTAATAGCAAGATTCTAGAGATTTAAGTAGGCGAGATTTTGCGGATTTAAGTAAAGCAATCCGGCTTTTGATGCTTTGATGCATGCAATTTGATACTGAACAAGTCCACATGAAGTTTAATGGGAAGTAGTAAACAATTTGGTGACATATGTTCAATATCTACAAAGATATATAGACGTATTCGCGCAGTCATATCATAAATAAACAAGTGGCGTGTAACCGAGAAAACCGCATTTAGTTCTCTCGCTCGATGCCACCTCCAAAAAGTTTCCTTATTTGACACCTCTTTTGGTGTAGATACTCAAATTAAGAAGCAATACGTAAAATGCAGTTGGAATGCGGAACCGCAAACGTTGCTCTGCATGTGGCACGCGCCACACATAGAAAGCATACTCATAAAGTATATTTATATATGCCTTTGTGTGTGTGTGTGTGTGCGCGCTGCACTTTGAAACGCATGCAAGTATCCACTATTCAAATTTACGATACTCTCCATTTCAAAAAATTTAAAATACTATGATAACAGTTTGAAAGCTACTGTTGCATGCAATTGTGTACTTACGCTAATCTCCTCTAGGCGGCGCTGTAGCGCCTCAATGGATGCCTTATCGTATGGCTTTTCAATCAGATCATTTATCCGCTTAAGTCCTTTTGTGACGAGTTCTTCCAAATCGATGTTCGGCTTTTCAAGTGTGGAACGCGGACTGGGGGTATTGCTGCCGTCAATCGGTTGTGGCACGCCGGGCACTTTAGATCTGAAAAATGTAGGTTTCGTGAGAGAASTTAATTTCTAGTAAAAACAATTATCAAAATTAATTTTAAAATTTTCGCAAATTTATAATGAATAAATTAAAAGGATCAAATTTCTGGACATGGCTAGAAGTGCAATTGTTGAATCATATTTATAAAAAATAATAGTTTTAATAATTCTTAATAACAGTAATACCTGGGAATGTAGTATGTGTATACCTACATATATCTACATATGTATATTGTTTAAATTGAAAAATCTTTAATTTTACAAAAGCAGACCACACTTTACCAAAAAGTCTCCAAAAATTGGAGACATTTTTTTCATAACTTTTAAATGAGAAATCCGGCAGAAATAAGTTTAAACATTTTTTAACTTTCATAAAGTATCTAAAGATTATATGCTATAAAACAATAGCGAACTTTCAAGATTCAGTTTTCTAAGTATAAAGAAGCGATATGATGTTTATAAAAAAACAACAAAATGTGTATCTGCTCATAATATCATTTCATTTTAGGAAGTGTTAAGGAATAAATTTGCTTTCTCTAAAAGTCACCAAAAGTGGAGACATGTTTATAAAAGATTTAAAAGGTATTAAAATCTACATATATATACCAGATATGTGGTTATAATTAAGTTAACTTAAGTTATCAATTTGTTCAGTTAATAATAATATTATTGGTTCATTTTATCAAAAAGTAAATTGGTGAAAAAAATTATGTTCATTGAAACTTTGAATAAGTTATGCGTGTGGATTGTTTCTGAACAACGATATTTTTCCATTTTCTGAACAAAAACTATATTTAAAGTATTTAAAAAAAAGTCTCCAAAAAGTGGAGAGATTTTTTTTTTTTTGCTTAAATGCATACAAAATTTACAGAACTAACGCTATGAATGGCATAAATTTAAATATAATCAGCATTTGCGAGCAATGTAAAACTCACTTGGCTTGCTGCACTTCACGGAACTTTTCGCGTAGAATGATCTGCGTTTTCATAACTAAGCGTGAAAGATTAMCCTGCTTGCCGTGAGTTTCCAGGACCAAGGAATCACCTTGTGATATCAAAGTGGCAGCATCGGGCGCAATTAAAAGTTTCAAGTCCTCAATGGCGCTGTGTGGAGAAATACAGTATTTCAAATGTGTATATTTTTTAATAATTTAATGTTTCTGTTAGTAATCCAAAAACAGGTAATAATGTTAGATCTACATGTGAGTATGCAGTTAAGTTGAAAAAACTTACACCTCTCCCTCGTTACACTTTTCGATCTTGTCCTTGGTCGCCTCCATTTTGCGTATCATATACTTGGCCATTTTGTCGAAAGTTTGCACACGTTGATCCAGGGGCGCGTTGTCGCGAAAACTCAGCGGGCTATCGGAGTAAGGGCTTTTCAAAGTGATATTCGAATCGTCCAAAGACGGAGAGGTGGGCAGAATTTTGCTTTCGAAGAAATTGGGTTTCTTAGCACCGGGTGTCTCAATGCGACTCTGAGTGAATAAATTGAAAGGAAACATATTTAAGTCAGTTTAAAATGTTGTGTAGAGTTCAAATAAATGCTTAAATAAAACAATCCTGAAAGCCAATCGTAACAAGCCGTTTAGTTGCTAGTGTAGAAAGTGTTGTAAATGTTTACCGTATCACTATCGGAATCAAATGTTGGTGTCATTTCTAGTGAGAATCTCGGTATATCCTCATCATCGGAGAAAACCAAAGGTTCCAAATCGTAACCTGCCTCTTTGTCAGCACTATAAAAGCTGTTGCGCGCAGGTGAATCTAGCGTGCCCTCGGATTCATTTTGAGGCTTCGCTTTCTTGGGCAACTGCTCTTCATCCAAGGCGAGCGTAAGCTGACGCCAACGCTTCGGTTGTTTCGGTGGAGAATTATTCGATGGCWCGTGCTCCTTAGCCGGTCGTTCGTCCTCATCCTCCTCCGAGTCGCGTAATATATCGCGCTCCTTCTCTATGCGTTTGCGCTTCTCATCGAACGAGATGCGTTGCTTCTCCACACGYAGGAATGGTGTGCTCGTGTTGAGTGGCACCGCACCGCGCAATTCTACGTCATCCAATAGCGGTGAGAGTGGTGGCTTCGGTGACTCACAAAGCGAACGTTTGCTTTTGCTGCGTTGTATTTCTTTGCCGTCCGCGTCAATACGCATCGAAGAATCGGAATCTTCAGAGAGATCGACAATTTGTACCGTCTCCACATATTCGGGTACAAATGGCTCCACACTCTCTAAAATATTTACGGTGTCTACGATCTCACCGATCTGTGGCTCGAATTCAATATTCTGTACTGACATTTTATCGTGTGGCAAATTTCGTTCGCGTACCTCCACCACTTTGGCGTGTTGTTCACCCTTACGGCTTTTACGTTTTGGTGGCTTAGTGGGCGCGTTGTCTGACGTTTCGATTGGCGTGGCTGTCGAGATGTGTGAGAACAGCGTGCTAGACTCTGCTAAACGGAATGTTTGTGGCGGCAAGACATCGGGTAAGACTTGTGTCACCATCGCCTGCTCTGCGGAGACATCCTTTGCTGRCGGCAATTCGACTGTCGTCTGCATAGGTGGAGACCGCTCAGGTTTGGCCGGTGAGTCGCCAGCGTTTTGTGAGTCATTTATGCCTGGTGTTCGTGCGCGACGCTGACGTACCGTATTGCTCAATACAACAATTTCAACATCAGAGTCCGTATTTTCAAGTGCACTGGTGCTTTGTGCAGTTGATGGTGGAGTTGGTAAGAGTGTTGCCAGCTCGGAATTTACATTAAAACGCGTTTTTAAAGCATCCTATGACGAATAATAATGTGTTGGTATAAGAAACACCATAAATTATAACTCTCCAATAAAAAATTGGAWGTGGAGACTTTTGTTTGTTAACTGAACTTTTATTCTGTTTCTGTTTTGGAGGTTTTATACATAATGAAAAGTGAATATTCATTTTTTTAAGTTGGAGACTTTTTAAATATAAATTTTTACATTTAAACTCAAATTTCATAGAGAATTTATTGATGGGTTGTTTAACATTATTGCAAAGAACTATAAACTTAAACTCTCCACTTCTATTGGAGACTTTTAAACCTTAAAATCATAGCACGTATATATATGGTTGATCGAAACTAGTGCAAAAAACTCTCAACTGAAAGTCTCCACGGTTTTTGGAGACTTTTTGTAATGCTCCATTTTCATATTCTAATACATAGTAGCGCATGTTTTAATGAATGTTATGATTTTATACACGTGTTGATCGTTTTGGCTAAGACTTTATTTAAACTCTTTAGAACTCAACTATTCTATCTGCTAATTTATTGTTAATTACAATTTATTAGATTAATTTCATAAATATATTTTATAGGCAATAATTTTTTCGTAGGACATTTACAATACGTTCTAAGGTGTCGTTAATAATCCCACGGCCGAAAGCAATGTACAGTTACAACCCAAAATTTGCACCCATTACACGTTAAAGTCTACATAATTAACATTATTTCCATATTTTAAGTGAATATACAATTAAAAGTTCTATTATACATTGAAATGACACCAACAAATGTTTCCACAGCAGCTAATTGGTGATACGGTGATTGGCTTTGAGGATGAAGGTGTTTTTAATACTTTTTATTTTTTTCACATGGTATTAGGCTTTCTTCCAAGAGTTAATTTGCAATGGGATAAACTTATGAGTTATGGCTTTAATTTGTTATTGTAAATGATTATTGGTGCTTGGTTACTAGGGAGTTTAAAATGTTTGTATATGAGTGAATACGTAGGTATATATATGTATGTGTACAGGTAGTATATATAAATAGTAAAAGTTTTAAATATATGAGTTTATGAATTCAATATATAATGGATATGTACATATGTATATAATATATATATGGTT